TAATAGAATAACCATAAAATACGTTCGTTGTAAAAATAACCCTCAATAGTGTAAGTACGAAATAAATATTCACACTTAACAAACAATTTAAAGGGAGTGGTTGTTTTAAATTTTTAAGTTTTCAATTTTTTTGTTTGAATTTGAGTTCTTCCAAAACAGCAACCATGATACGAAATGAATTCATATTTCCAAAAAAAAAAAAAATTTCCCAGTTTTCAAAAAAAACTCAAAAACTAAAAAAACTGCAAGACTCCGACAGTAAACATTTGACAGTAAAAATATAATACTGATTTTGAAACTCCGCAAAATTGTGTTGCCATTGCTAATTCAAAATCTCTACGAAAGGAATTTGTGATCATTTAAAAGTCCACGTCGTAGCTAAATTCCTGATTTGTAGAATTCTACAAGGGGAATTCATGATAGGGCTTGCGATATACACACATTTAAAGCAAAATTTCAATATTTTAACAATTTACTTTAAATTTACTCAAACTGAATAAATACTTGTACGTGTATAATAGTGGAACAATATGAATTTCAATTAAATTATTCAATTAATACTACATCCTTAATGTTTTATTACCTTCTATATCAAAAACTATTCAATATTTTCTCTAACATTGTTATAACTAAGTAAGTAATATTATCTTACAACTTTTACAACATAAGAACGAATAAAACGATTAAAATATTCCAGTATTTCTACTATGCAAATTAATAAAGCAAGTACATTTTACACACATACACGTACATATTGTTAGTTATTTTTTATATTTTCATATAAAAGGCTCTAATTTTTCAACTAAGACTTGATTTGCTTACAATAATATTGTTTAAAAACATAAGTTGATTTTTTAAATTGCAAGCATATTTTACGATACTATGCAAATCATATAGAAACATTATTTAATATGACATACAGGGTTGCCGTTTGTGAATATTGCATTCAAAAATTGGAACAAATTTTTGTGTCTGGAAAATTTGGAGAACCTTGCTGAATGTTGTTTATTTTTTTTTTGTATGACATTTCATTTGGTTCCTTTCATGGAAGATTAACTGTTTCACTGTTTACATTTAACACTATTAAAAAACTATCTTAATTTTTAATTATTTTGCCAGTTTTTGTTTATTAACACTTAAATTGCCAAATATTTTCCCGGTTAATCACTATGCTAATTCCATTAAACCATTTTCTGTAACCATTAATTGCTGTCTAATAAATGAAAACATAGAAGTTTCTGAATTTATGAATTTTGCCTGAGTCAGAGTGGCAACCCTCACAACAAACTCAACTTAATATATTTATGAGATATCTGAAAGTTAAACAACTGTACTATACATAACACAACATATACATAATTTTTATATTCATATATGAATATTAAATATAGGCAAAAATTATTAAAAGTGATTGTTCAAAATGGCATACAATTTATGATTTAAACACTTAAGTATTTAACATAAATTGTTTACATAAAAGCTGTTATACATGAATGTATAAATGTTATACACTATGTATAAATCTCGTATAACAGTGTTAGGAAATTAGCAAATTTAATACGAAATTTAGCCTTTAAAAGATTATGTCAAGTGGTATATAATGAAGACCTAAATGTGTCATTTTTATGGATAATGAAGAAAAGTTTGGCTGATAAAATAAGGTAACAATTGAATTTTGTTTAAAACCTTAACCTCCGGTATTGGAACTATCGTCTTGAATATTAAGATTCACAATAATTTTATTATGTTGCTTTGAAGTTGCTACCTTGTTGTATGTATGTATGATTTTGTGAGCGATAATGTTTTTTATTGTGTGATGACATGCAATGTATGTACACATATCTGTTTCATTCAGCAATATTGCCACTGAATTGAATTTTGTTAATAATTCTTATCTTAAATATTAATTACTCAATTCGTTTTGTAAATTTTTTCAAGTGAATTAAATTTGGTTTTGTAATTCAATTCTAAAGTCTTTAAAATTTGGCATAAAACAGCATTATATTTTACCTAATCTAGCACAATTTATTCGACCAAATATCCCAACACTGGTTTATACACTGAACATTGCATTTCTAACAAAAAAAAATATCTAGAACATAAGAGTAAGTTTTCATTTACATACAATACAAAAGTTACTATACAAACTTAAATGGAACACTATTGAATTCGATCAAAATTCACCTTAATTTTACACGTTTTTAATATTAAAAAAACATACTTTCATAAATTATTACTATTCGACTTAATTAGATTTTCATTTAAAATTCATTTTATTTTATTTGTTTTGATATTCTATAATATCTAAATATTCTAATAAAATTTTAATAAAGGAAAAAATTTGCATACACGTTTACATGTTTTTGTGACCAGCTGGCTGGATTTTATGTATAAAAATAGAAAAATTATAACATACTTCTTTCTTTAGGTAGGTACCTAATATGCCTTCATTCTTACTTTTCTATTTCTGTTATTTACTTAATAATATTATAGATAAATTCATTTAACCTCCTAAAAGTAAGAAAATAAAAAAAAAAATCATAAAATATAAAATAATTTGATATGGTCAGCACTATAATCGGCCGCAATCGTTATCTAGTTTAGCGATAGTGTTGCATAAAATTATGAAAATGTCTCTTAAAGATTTCTTTTAAATTTTGAAGACGCTAGTAAGATTTTAGTTAACATACCTAAAAAAAAATATAAATTTGGCACTTAGAAGGCAATTAGAACAATAACGCGATCTGTATTTTCTAAATAATTTCTCAGCTAATTCCGGTAGCGAACAGAGCTCAAATATTAATTTTCAAGAAAAATCTGTGAATAATTTTTTAAAATCTGTGAATAATTTTGTAAAAATCAAGTTTTCGAAACCTCATATATTCCAAAAGTATAATCAATCTGTGATATAACCGAAGTCAAACACAGATATAAATTTTCATATAAATCGGTTGACCCGGAATTGGGATACCACAGTCTACCAGACAGACCGACAAACAAACCATGTTTCCCTACCACAGCGATTTGCATTCCCGCCGAAAATTCGAAATTTGATGCCATCACATAACCTCTCTTATTGTATGCAAAGCGTTCGTTAAAAAAAATGTTCTTGCAGATAAATTAATCTCAATTGATTAAGGTCTTTATTTATTTATTTATTTTTTTAAATAAGTAAGTATAACGTTATTCATACATATGTATGTACTTATGTGATTATTTATGTTTATACTTAAATAACATAAGTGCTATAAATTTGATAATAAAATAAAAAAATTAAATTACTTTAAAAAAAAAATAAATAAAAATTTTGCAAAAAAAAAACCAAAATAAAAATTTTATTTTGATTTTTCTTTTAGTTTCTTGTCCCCATAACAAAGTTCGAAATAAGTAATTAAAAACTTAATAATCATGACGTTATTATTGGTTATCGAAAGCAAAATTTCAAATTCTTTTAAAAAATTCTAATATGTATAGCCAACCTTATTGTACCTGTAAATATGTATGTATGTATATAAAAAATTTAAGGACGATATTTATATACATAGGCACATATATGTATACTCATATAATGTAGGAAGAGTATAGTAACAGTTTTAATATGAAATCCAAGTTAAAGGTAACTTACCCATATCAGAATTTTATATATAAATTCGTAAGTTACCTGCCATAACGCTTTGTATATAAATGTTACATGTGCGAATACAAAGTAACTACCTACCTCATTATATGTTACGGTAAAAGTAGTAAATATCAATATAGCTACGCGTATATATCTAATTATTCTTTTTCAAATATTTTTAAAATTACAAATTTACTATAAAAAAAAATTCGAATTTACTATAAAGGTAATAATGCAGATAAAAAATATGTTGGTACCTAGGTACATGCCTAGTGAATTTGCTTACAATATTTGAATAGAATTTGATTAAAATTCTAAAAATTGATTAAGGGGTTTCTTCAAATCGAAAAAACAGAACCAATAAAAATAGCAGCGGACGATTTTTCGTGGTAACGCAGAACTACAGCGAATCGACAAAGCGAACTGTTCATTATCACAGTAATAGCAAATTAGAACCAAAGCGATGAATGGCAACGGACGATGTCCGTTGTTATTAGCTGATCAACAAACTCAACTGTTCATCAACATGGAAACATAAGATTATAAAAAAAAAACGGTAAAATAGAATTTCAATTGTAAAAACAGAACCAAAGCGGTAAAAGCAAAATGAGGACAATTTCCTTTCAATTTTAATGTCAAAAAAATACCAGCAAGTAAAATAGGATTTTACACTATTTTACAGCAATCGGTTAAATTTGCGGCGGTAATGTTTCATTCTGGCCAGTCCCATTTTCAAAATGAATTTTCGACATTTCGTTACGGAAAATCACCCTTGTTCCTCTTTTCATCTCAAGTTGGCTAGGTCTGTATGTAGAAGAGGTATTTATCAGTATATAGGAGAGGTTTTGTTTTTATATTAATTTTAATATTTTATCACTTTTTTAAAAACTTAAATTAGAAAACAATCAAAAATGTGATTTAAATTTTTGTATTTTTTCGAAATATCCAATCATTTACATTTTTTGTCATCTTTGCCGTGACACAACTAACTTGGCACATATTATTGTACATTAGTATATTGATATTTCATATACGAAATTATGTACAATATATAACCGACTATGTATGTACACTTGTATGTATACATATATATTCGTATATTAGATATTTTATATAGGTAACTTACACACGTAAGCTTTAAAGTTATAATATAACAAACAATTTCTTAAGCCGATATGAGAAATAAATAAATTTACAAAAGTATTTGTGTGTATGTAGGTATGTATATAATTATAAAGTAACTAAAGTAACTATTTTATTGTTATACATACATACATACATTGTATATATATGTAGGTATTTTATTTTCTTTTTACGTAGGTGTTCTTTTTTTGTTGGTGTAAAAGAAAAATCGTTTCTTTTGTTTTTGAAGAGAACTTACCAAACCTGTCCGTAAGCTCCAGATCCGACCGGATTTAACATTTGATATCGTTCTGGAATCTCCCATTCCGTTTTGTTTATATCAATTTTATAAAATTTTTCAGGCATTTCCTTTATTTTTCTTTTTTTTTTCAAAATTATCAATTGAAAAGATTAAATTTTTGCTTTCTCTTTTTTTTTTTTAATTTATTAAGTTAAATACTTAAGGTTATAAGGAAATTAAAATTTAATATTAAAGCACTATACATTCAACCACCAAAATAAATAAAATAAAAAATAATTATGTATATTTTTATTAATATTTGAACACTGAATTTTTTCTTAAACCTTTTTAATTTTCTTACTAATAAGATTTTTATTTTTTTTTTCTTTTTGTATAAATTTTAATCACACCTCGATCGAACCACTCACGTTTTGTAAATTAAAAATATAAAATACAAGAGAAAAAAACGCTAAATGAAATGTCAAAGAAATATGAGTGGAGTGACGTCAATATAATGTCAGAGTACAATATATTTTAAGGTGACCATACTAAATTTTTCATAAAGTTGTAATGCCGAACTATAGTACATTTTCTTTATTTATATTTTTAATATTTTATATCAGTTGCAACTTTAACAATAATTTGCTATAGTTAAATTGTAAATTGGAAAATTTGTGGCTTCATCATTAATGCATGGCGGATAAATCATGCCTGCAATTCAAAATTTTTCAAAAATTAAAGGATATTATAAAAAATATTATTTATTAATTTTTCAATAAAAATATTTTTCAGTTTTCGATCATTAAGTAATATGAATGCAGTATTAGTAAAATTATATATATATAATTTGTGATATGTCAAAGAGACAATATTGTCAAAATACTTTTCTTAATACCCAAATATTAACAACATAATAAAATTAATATTTTTGATGAAATAAAATAAAATTTAAATGAATCGAAAAGTATAAAGACAAATTCAAATGCCATTGTTTTTTATATTTTTTATTAAATAAGTGTTTTATCTAGAGTTTAAATCAAAATTTTTATAAGTAAAATTATTTATTAATTACCCAAGTAATTACAACTAAAAATTGTACTAATCATCTCCCATCAATTCTTTTTCAAACTCTTCGTTTGTTTTTAAAATTCTTAGTATAGCTTATTTTCAACCGAAACAACATAAGATCAAATAAAATTTACTTCCCTTTACGACATCTTCTTATTTGTTTTTCCTTCTAGAAATTCGATTTTTTTTACGCTCTACATACTTATTTTGTATTCAACCTAGCGACACAATGTATGCTAAATTTGTAGCCCTTGCCTTTTATTTTTAGAACTAAAAAAGCATCAAATATTATTTTGCAAAAATGACAATTTGTAACATGTTAAAACAAAAACAAGATGCCACTGCAGTTCTACTTTAAAGCTGCAAATATGAACTCAACATTACTGTTGATAAGTTGATGTATTTTCTAGCAGTCAGCTACCAAAAAATTGACATTCTGAAAATTAATTATTTCTAATTAAAGTTTTATTGCTCAATTAAATTTTCATTGTTTTGTAGTTGAAATTTAAATTGTATTTTTCAGTACACTTTGGTATTTCCGCGTAGTTTCAATTATCCCAGAATTTCAATGAAAAATCTTGTGATTGGGGTCCTTTCAAATGTGAATGTCCAGTTTGCTTGCTAACCTCTTTTTATTTTTTCTATCTCAGATCTATGCCAGATAAAAATACGAAACTGAAAAGGGCTCATGTTTTACTCGTTTTTATTTGATGTTCTGAATTTCTAAATGAATCTCTTTCAGTTGATAGAAAAATTGTCAAATAACAAAGTTATCCGACAAGTTTAATGAAGTTTAAAAGCAAAAAATTATAACTTCATGGGAAGTTTATAACAAACGAATGAAATTGTTTAAGTACAATACCCATTTAAGTACAATACAACAAACAGATCCAATAAAAGAAATTCATTTTCAACTACAGTAATTTTTTGAAGAAATTAAAAAATGAGAAAGAAAATAAACAGTTAACAGTTAAAACCAAGTGTAAACTATGTAAACCCAGGAATATTCTTTCAATTTAATATAGTACCATTGCTTGTCATAATTGAGAATGGTACTTTTCGAGAATCGAAATTTTTATTTCAGATTATGATTTTGTTTTCTTCTAAGTTGAACGCTTTATTTGACAGTGCTTAGTAAATATATTATTATTTTTTGTTATGGAAAACGAAAAATAACAAAATAGATGTTTACATAAATAAGAAAACTATGAAGCCAAACGCAAATGAAAATCCTTCAGCAAAATCCTCACTTAGTAAATCGATGAAGAAATCAACAAAGTCAAGATCTAAAAATTCAAAATCAACAGCAAATAATGCAAGCCAAAGCCAAAAGGCCGCGACACCTAAGGTAAATCCGCAAGAGCCAACAGCTTCAACATCAGCTAGTACAGCCACATCCGAAGATTCAAAAGAATCTAAAGGTGAAAAATTTAATGGCAATAATCGAATGTCTGCATTTACCGCCAAATCTATTAAAAATTTTTGGGAACAATATAATACTCATGAAGTTGATGTTATGCCTGAGGTATTTTCTCGTTTGGCAGAAGATGCCACATACAAGGTTTGTGAACTGGTTCAGGTAAATTTTTTGCATTTTTAAAAAAGAAAAATTCTAGTTCCAAATTTATTTAGAATATAAAAATATATGCTCGGCATTCTGGTGGAAAAGTTACCTATGATTTAGTGAACGAAGTACTTAAAGATTCTGATGTTCAACCGATATTAGGGGCGGGAGAAATGGATTTTGAGAAAATTGAGCATGAGGGGACGTCTTATTATTTCGACAATGTAAGTGTTTTCTTTCTCAGATATCAACTAGACATCTACCCAACATTTACATATTTTTTAGGATAATATTTTAGAACTAAGAGATGAATATTTAAAAGAATATGAAACTAAATGCGCAATTAAATCAGAAATTTCTGGATCTTGGGTTCTTGATAAAAAGCATTCTAAATTGTTAATGGATTTTACCTTTTGTTTAAATAAAGCTATATTTTTGGGTGACAACGATGCATACAAATTTGGTCTTGATGCTGCTGCATTTGCACCACAAATTGGATGCTGTCTTGGACTTTTATTTAGAAAATGTATTGAAATGCTAGCTTTTGATCAAAAATTTGGTATCGTTGAAAGATGCTTAAAATACTTACAAGCACTTTCTATAAATATTTTTGCAAGAGATGCTCTTGTTAGGCAACATTTATTTCATCTATCAGAAATAATTGTCTGTCTTTTGCTGGGGACATTGAAATCTATACAACCTAGCATTAAGAAAGAACCGAAATTAGAAAAAAAAGAAGCGTCTTTTGAAATTGTAAAAAATTATTTGGAAAATTCCGACACAGATATTAAAAAAGAAGTTGTGGCGCTAAATCCAGTAGACGTGGATGATATTCGACAGGAATATGAAGCGTTGTTTCAAATGATGGAACGGGATGGATTCCAGGAACGGCCAGATAATTTTGAAGAAGTTGGTAACGTAGAATATATCAGACCTACTGTAGACATTTGCGATGGTATAAAAGTTGAGCAAGATATTGAATTAGAACCAATTCAACAGCACCAACAGCCAATTTCAAGTGATCAAACTCAATCACAAATGTCTGTAAATCAAATACAATCGCAACAACATATTAAAGTAGAACAATCAATTGGAATGGATCAAACTCAACCGCCAATCGGAATTGATCAAACCCCACACAATATATCAATTGAACAATCTCAACAACAAATTGCACTTGATCAAGCCCAACAACAACAAATCAATGAGGATTTGTTGCAAAATCAACCTATTTCAATTGATCAAATGTCTCAAGAAACATTAAATTACCAAATTTTGGATGAGCCATTCACTATAGTTAACGAAGAACATATTGTTCCTGAACAAACAACAGATGAAATGATAGCTGAAGCAATCAGCTTACAATTTTCTCCGTACCAAGCAAAAATGGTAGATTTTCAAAATGTTGATATAGTTTGTGATACATTAGGTAACTTAGGAAGCCAATACGGTTACTTTCAAACCGAGTGCATTTATCTAATACAAAAAAGAATGGAAAAATTTTTTGCAATTAAGGAAGTATTTAATGATAATGGTAAGGCACTTTAACATAATTCTTTGATTTCTTTTTATATTAGTAGAACATTTTGTTTGTAAAATGAATTTGCAGATTATCAATATATCAGCAGGTGCTTTCGAGGCTTAATTGCTCTTGGTGAAGCTGGAATACGAGAAATCCTACCATTTTTAGAAAAAATTAATCCTGATTTAATAAATGAATGTTATCTCAACGACTTTTCAGTAAGTAAATTCAAATTCAATTCTTAAAAAAAATAAAAAAAATGTTTTGTATTTCAGTTAGCAGCTGTGTTTCTTAGAGGTCCAATAGATATCTTTTTTTATGAGTGGTTAGTTGAGCTATGCCGTGATAAGTTGCAGCCTTTTATGGTGTTTCATTATAGTAATACAGTAAAAATAACAAATTTTAAATATATTCTTACGAAGTTATATGTTTTAGATTTTCATGAAGATTTATTGAAAGAACGGCTAGAAAAACAACGGCCAGCGGGATATAAAATTTATTCGAAAATACAATTGAAAAGCATTGAAAAATTAACAAGAAATAAAAATGAAATTTTAGATTTGCATTTTCCAGAGAAGACAATTATAAAAATGCATAAGAGAATTGGGTTTAAATTTTCTGGATGTAGGCCTGTTCTTTTAAAACCAAAAGTTCAAACTCAAAATTTTATTCAAAAGCCTCTACAATCATTTAATAGCAAAATAAGAATTGGAAAAAGGAAATTATTTAAGCCATTAACAGATAGACCAAATATTGGTAATTGTTATAATTATTGTTACACACAAATATAATATGGAATGTGTATGTAGGTAAAAACCTATGTACCTTATTTAGGTACCTACTTTAAAATTTTAATTACTAAGAAATTAAGTACTATTTAAAATTAAAAAATAAACATTATTATAAAATTATTATGGAATAAAATTTTAAAATTATTTTCAGTAATTCAGTATGTTTACTATTAAACAATTATTTCATTGGTTTGAGGCATTAACATGCAACCCTACAACATGACTGGAAAACTAAATGCTTGTCTCCTTGCACGTATGCTAAATTAAATACATATGGAAATCATTTTATTTATGACCTTATGACGTATGGTTGTTTAAAAATTTCATATAGGGCCTAGCAGTTTATTCCACTTTCTTTGCGTAAGAGTGACGGCAATTAATTTTTTTTTATAGTAGTTTGGTGAAGCGATCAGCTGAATTTTGTTATTTTGTAATTTTTGTAGTAAAATTATTAAATTTTGACCCAAAGTCTAAGCGCCATAATTTAATTTCAATTTGATATGTAAACATTCACCAGATTTGGACTTAGATTTTGTCATTATATACACATACGTACGTAAACAACCCCATAATGCAAGTTTCATATTCAATTTTTCGTTTTTTTCAAAATGTATTCAAGATTTAGTTACTATTCATTCACTTTATTTTTGAAAGTGATGAGTTTTGTCTGTACTTTAAAAAAAAAATTAGTAATGTAATTGAAAAATGTCTTAATTTTCCAATTAAAAAAAATTTAAATTAGCATTAGAAAATTAATAACAAGGAAAATGGAAGAACCGAGATACGTAATCAGGCTGTATTAAAAATGAATATTCGGCGTCCGGCAAAATGAAATTTAACGTTGGTTCTTATATGACATTCAATATGACATTTTGTGCTGAACATAATTGACGTATCTACATACATATGTATAAATGCGACAAAAATAAACAAAGTAGTATAGTTTATAAAAAAAATTTTCTTTAAAATAAAGTCATGGTTTATCAATCGTAAAAAAATAAAATTATAATGATTCCGTCGTATGTAAATTTAGATAATAAATATGTATATAAGATTTCTATAAGAAAATTTGCGGTGTCAGTAGCATGTCTTCCATTATTTAGTTTTATATTTTGCGTACTTTGGTGTTTGTTATTTAATTTTGAGGAATCAACTTCAACGCATTGTCATGTAGCAAGTAAATCTTAATTAGAAATTACATTTATTATATTAACTATATTTAAATAAAAACATTGAAATTTTAGATTATTTGCCATCGATTTCGGCGGCTATAGGCTCTTTTCAACCTCAGAAATTTGTTTGGCAAACATCAATTTGCTTACATTTTCTTCCACGTTTACTTGTAGCACGATTGTATTTTCAGTTTTATGAAGAAACAATTAGATTGAACAGGAGACGTATCGCCAGAGTTGCGGTATTCTTAAATGTGATTGAAAACTTTGCACTTATGGGCTTGACGTTATGGACGTCCAGTATGGCTGAATACGAAGTTCACAAATTTTGCTTTATTTCATTTATAATAACTAGTGACGTTTATATGATATTATCGTATGTAGTTAATAAGAACTTTAAAAAATTTTCGGAAATCAATGAATTGGATCGAATTTCTTTGAAATGCAAAAAATATTTAATGATAACAAATATTATATCCATTTGCATTGCTTCGCTTTTTTTTCTAAGACATAATCAATATTGTAGACCAATGGGTAAATTTTAATAGCATTTTTTTATTATTAATCAATAACTTATAGTGCTTTTATTACCCCAGATTATACACTTTTCGCTTTCTTTGAATACATTGTTGTTTTAACCAATATTGGATACCACTTAACAGTTTATTGGGACTTTCATGGACGTAGTATAGTTTTTGACTGGGGCAAAGGATTTTACACAACGCATCAATAACAAGCATTAAACTTAAAATATAACATGTATGTTAATATAAACTAAGCCTAAGATTTGCTTAAGATATAAATTATTTATAAGTAGCAAATTTTTACTAAAATTTTTTTGAATAATTTTTAATTTGCTGAAAAACGCATACATTTTTTATTGAAGTACTTGTTTCAAGTTTTTTTGAAATGGAAATACTTATTTTTAATAAAATTTATTAAAGCTTTTTAAAATAAATTTATTCAGATTTTTAATTGTGACAAAATGCATTATTCTAATATTTACTTAAATAAATGGTATGCATAAAGCTAAATTATGGTCTACTCCGCAGCTAAGTTTTTTAACTTTTGCATTAATCGTTGTCTTAAATGGGAAAAATTGATCCTTTGAATGTCCTAAACCTAAGCAACCGAAACGATTCTTTCCCCACATAAATAAGTCATTGTCACTATTAATAGCAGCCATATGAAACACTCCACAATAAATAGACTCCACTTTGCAGTTGCGATTAAATTCGTTTCTATTAAACATTACTGGTACAAGTTGTTTTGGTATACTACTTTGTTCTACGTGGGGGCCAAATCCTAATATTCCGTAACCCCAAGTAAAAACGTCACCTTCATCATTTAATATCATACAAAATGAGCCACCTGATGCTATATCAATAATTTTTCCAAATCCCTTTGTCAGTTTTAGCTTGATCGGTGTATGAAACTGGCAACCATTATGATTATCATCTAATTGACCGTACTCAGAACTTCCCCAACCAAATACTTCACCTTTGTCGTTTAAAGCTAAAATACAATCTGCAGTGCTGGCTATTTTTATTATATTTTCTCCTTTAATGTCACCATTAACATAATCAATATTTCCGGTTGTTAAGAAATCGCCTCGTCCGGTTTGTCCATCAGATCCCCAACCACATGATAATACTTTACCTTTTTCAGTTAATATTAGTGTATGATCTTGTCCACATTCCAGTTGTTTTATACTATCTTCCACATTATTAAACAATTGTTCTTTATTTATTTGGTTTACTATACAGCTTTCATGATATTTTTCATTTCTTATTATTTCACGACCACACTGTCCATAAGAGTTATTACCTAGTGCAAAAAAACTATCGTCTGTAGTGGCAAAGACAAGATGAGCACGACCGGCAGATATACATTTAACTTTAAATTCATTGGATTTGTTTGGAATATGTATGGGAGTTGGATAAATTACAAGAGCAAGTTTCCTTGGATCGTTTATCTGGCCTCTTTCTTGTAAACCAATTTGATTGTCACTATTTAGACCTGTTCCATAAAGTACATCATGTTTACCTCCTTTCGTTACAAATGCTGAAAAGCCATAACCGGCAGCAATGTCCTTAACTTCGTTGCGATCTGCAAAATTTAAACGCGTTGGATGATGCACAACCGCTGTGGATTAAAGTATATATAAGGTTCTATGATTCGATATATAAGGTTCTATGATTCAAAAAAGCCACTATAAAACTTACCTTTATGTCTTTTAGCCGCTTCTTTTTCATGTGTATTCACCCCTAAAGCACCTGTTTCAGAAAAACCCCAAACATATATTCTTTTCTGGATAGATGGTGCCTTTCGATACTCGTGCTCTGAACAATTATAAATTTCATTAAAATAATGTATTACATGATTCTTATTTTTAACTTATACCTGTAAATTTTTCTCTGTTTTGTAGTAAAACTGTTCTCTTGGCACGACTTGCATATTTTCTACAAAAATATATTGGTAAAAATAATGTGTTTGTGTTTAATTTATTCATTTGGTTTCGGCTTTCCAAAGTTCTAATTTATATACACAAAATAAATTGACGTATTTAAAATCAAAACAATAATAAAAACATAACCTCCAAAATAGACATTTCCATCAATCAATTTACTTCTGTTTGATATGTGTAAATGATTACGATCAAGTGATTTAAAAATCTAAAATTGTAAGATAATCAAAATTATTAATCTCAATATGTATATAACTTTTAGAGTAAATCAACAGATAAGTGGCGACGGATCCAAAATTTTTGAATTAATTAATACCAGGGTTCGATGTCGGTTGAAATTTGTTATTTACATTCCCAATTTAACATTACATATATATTTATCATCTTTAGCTCCATCTACCTCTACAGAGAAAAAACTTTTGACATTTACTTTCCTAATTTGACATTGACATATAAAATATATACAAAGTTCTGTTGAAGGAAGGAGATAGAAATAGTGTTGAGAATAGAATAGAGAATAAATTTTTGACTTTGACTTTTTACGATACTCATACGATTAAATTTTTTCAGTTGAGTAGATCGTGTTGTTCAGTTTAGGAGTATCAGTATCGTTTGCATGCTACGAATTTTTTTTTTTTGGTTCAAGTGAAATTAACACATTAAGGAATGAAGAATTCCTTAAGCTTTTTTTTTCTTAATTTAAATTGGTTTTATTTTCTTATTGTATGTCCGGATAATTTTTATTTAGAATTTAGATGATTAAATAATTAAGTGTGTTTTTTTACAAGAAAAATTACAAAAGATTTGCGAAAATTTAAAAAAAATACGTGTACAAGTCTAAGCATATACAAGAGAAAAAAAAATAAAAAAAAAAAATAGAATATTATTTGAAGAAAAAAAAATAACAGAATTTTTGTAATGAGTGCTTGAAGTTTTGACGTGCGTGAGTATTAAAAAATTCAAGTTTTTTTTTAGAGTGGCGCTTTACTGGGCGTGTCGTCTTGTTGCATTAACGTCGCTGTAGCCGTTGAATTCGTCGTAGCTAATAGACAATAAAGTCAAAAATAATATTTCGTGTGTCGCGTACTTTTTTTTTTTTTTTTAAATAAAATACCTGTGTATCTTGTGTGGCAATATAACGTTTAATATCGAGAAAAACATAAGAATTTTTGAGACAAAACTGGTGGTAATATTTACAGACAGAATCAGGGAATAATGCCCATACTTAATAAATTCTGAAATTTAAAAATATTAAAATAATATTTAATAATTTAAATAAAATCTATGTTTAAAAATAAATATAAGATAAAAGAATTAATAAAGGAAAAAAAATATTGTCATAGCAATTCATTTGAATTATACTTATGTATGTATGTATTAAAAATTGTACAACATGACCGAATACATTTAATTCTGTTAAGAATTTAATAATATGTTATGCAGTAAAATTCCAAATGTTAGAATACCTACCTACTTACCTAATGAATAAAATAAAAGGCATACCAAATGTATCATATACGATTTTGTGAATTAAACAATATTCTACCTGGTTAGGTACTACAATCATGTCAAATTTTTTTTTTTAAATCTTTAAACAATAATACAAACTACATACATACATACATGTGTACTTATCTAAATGTAAAGGTGTTTTGTTTCAATTTTAATAATTCAAATAAAAAAGAGAATTTTAAAATTTTTAATAATAATAAGAAATTATTGACGACAATTTGTTAAAATCTAAAAAGAATAATTTGAGAGATAGAAAAAAAAACTTGTTTATTATTTAGATTCTAGGATTTTATTCTACGTCGTTTTAATAGTGTGTGTGCGTTTCTTTTATTTTTTTTTTTTTATTTTGTGTAGAATTGTAGAAATATTTGTTTTAAGTTCTCAAAATATTTTGTGGTTTTGTCGTTGACGTTGTCATCGTCACGTTTTAATCACTACACAACTTGTTGTTTTTCAAAAACAACAACAAGAGAATAATAATAATAAAAAAAATAAGACAATAAATCATAAAGTTTAAAATATACATACATATATATATATAAATGCTACACATATGTGTACAAACAAATATAAAAATTAACGTGGTAATTTTTGTATCTTAAATAAAATTCAATAATTACTATGATTCAGAAAAAATAATTGTGGTTGCATGAATGTAGAAAATATTAAAAATAAATTTAAGAAGTAGAATCTACCTTTACCTATCTAAATATTGTAAAACAAAAAAAATAATTTCTAAAATATTTTAATTTTGAAAAAATTGAAAAAAAAAAATTTAATAAAAATTTTAAATAACTATTTAAATAAGAATCCTACTTATATTGAAAATTGAAAATTAAAAAAAAAAAAAGGGACGCCACCACAAAAATGTTTAAGTGCATTCCAATATTTAAAGGATGCAATCGACAAGTGGAGTCTGTTGATAAACGTCATTGTTCATTGCCATCTGTTCCAGAAGAAATATTAAGATATTCAAGAAGCCTTGAAGAATTATTATTGGATGCAAATCATATACGTGATTTACCAAAGGTAAAAAAAAATAAACATACTTACCTGTATACCTATTTACCTCTTTAATTAGTGTTATTTTGTTCATACAAATTTGAAAATTTTAATTTAAGTTTTTAAAGCAGACAAGTTTCAAAATATAAGGAAAACTTGTTAAGTACTTGGCTGTTTTTTTTTAGAAATCAGTAAATTTTTAGTGTAAAGGAAACTGTTGTTCATTTACCTGGTTATCTATAAACTCATGAATGAAATGATGTAAATAATGCCTACCTATGTATGTATGTATATAAAATATTTTTGTCAGGGAGCTAGTTTTTATTTCCTCTTTTTAATATTTTCAATAGAGTTTTGTCATTCTTAATTCTTAGAGAATTATTACTTTACACAAGAGTCGATCGTTTCAATCTATTATATTACAAATACAGTAATCCCTCACATAAAGTCGCTTCGATATAAAAAATGAATTCGATATTCGAAAATAATTTCGAATAAAAATTCGGCAAATGTTGGTTTCAGAAAATTAATTTAAGCGAAAGATTATTTTTAAATGTTTTGCCCAAATGCGTCTCTATCTAGCATGATTTAACAAAATTTTATATTTGGAACACTTATGTACCTACGTTCGAATCATGTATTCAAATAAATGAAAATTCGGGGAAAAAAACCGAGTCGGATATTATTCTTGTCTATTTAACTACCTACTTACATTTCTACTTACCTTGGTAACTTTTTAAAGTTTTGGTATTTTTCTTACATTTTTCATTTATGATTTTTTTCCACTTTTGGAATGTTGATAATGTTATGTGTTTCTTTTTCAAAATTATTATTATTATGTAGAATAAGAAAAATATGTGGAATAAAATATTGAGATAAAGGAAAAGCAATCACGATTTTTACTTATAAAATGGTCAAAAAGAAAAAAAAACTTTATATGTCTATATATAGTAAACCGGTTTCTTTTTTTTTCTTTTTGATTCCAGCTTAATTCCAAAAGAATATTTTTAGATTTTCTTCATTTTCATTCTTTATTTTTTTTTTGTTGTTGTTCTTGTGGTTCCAATCTATTATAATTTTCTATTTTTAAATTCATTTCTATCAGAAATAGATTATAAATAAAATAAGTATTAAAGTTTTATGAGCGTTCATAGAAATATTAAAAGTAGGTACTTAAGCATACATATATGTATGTATGTTAATATCATGTATGTACATATATAATTTATGTATTTTATAGAGCTTGCCTAACCGTATATCTATTGGCCTTATATAGCTGAATATGTTAATCTTATTATTTAACAATGTATACACAATTTGTTTACGTGCAGAATGTCAAGCCGGTTTTGTTAACGAACTATTAAGTTATGTAGGAAAAACTTAAGTACTTATTTAGATTTAAAAAAAAAAAAATTGTAATTCAAACTGTTAAAATTGTTAAAACTTTTTAAAATCGTAAATTTAAAACTTGATATTGTTCAAGTTTTAGTTATCGATTAAATCAAATTTAATTGGGCAATTGGTTATATTCACAAAATTTTTAATGTCAAATTGGTAAGGTCGAAATTTTTCACAAAATAGTTCTTACTTCAAAATTTTTCATAAGAATTTTGTAGTTTCTACAAGGTATATTGTTACAACAAAAATTTTCATTATGTTTGATTCTAATAAAAGTTTGATAATACATGTTTGATATAGAGTAAGAGAATTTATTAAAAAATTAACACTGGTTGCCATGACAACATTAAATTTATTAAATGTCAACGCTGGTTGACATGAGAACTTATGTTCTAATCAGATCTAATTGAAGTTAGAGAAGCGATTAATTGATTTTTAGTTTAGTTTGATTTCATTTCATTCTAAATCGCAAACTCATCCCAGAATTAATTATTTAAAAATTTAAATAAATTAAAATATAAAAATACCACTTTCCCGCCATAGATGCGCATTTTGTCCCTAGCATTAATTTTTTTTTTATTTATTAATTAAATATTTGACAATTTTCTCATCAATATTCACTAAAATCAACAACAGCATCTTAAATTGTCATTTACATTCGTATTTGTATCACGCTTAATAATTGAGTAAATACCATATAATACAGTAAAGAAAGGATAAATAATACGATGATGTCGGAATTAGAAAATTAGTTGCTATTAATATTGCACACACATGTACCCGTATGCATCTGATATTATAATTTTTTTGGCATAAGTATTACAAAAATTATTTATACTTTTATTAACGCTTTTTATTATTATAAATTTTTAAAATTTCTCGAACAGAAAATAATTTTGAAAAGGTACCTACTCTTGATCTAAAAAGTAGGCTCACAAAATGTACTGACTTATGTCAAATATCTGTCAAAAATATGACAATTTACATGTGTAATCGAGGTGAAATATTTTTTCAATTAGCATCCAATTGTCATTTTATATAAAATTTTTTTTTTTAATAAATAATTTCGATTGCACTTACGAACTCTTATGTATCACGTCTGAGATTTTAAATTAGACCCTTCGTTATTTCGCGGTTATCAATGATTTTCAAATTATATTAAGAGTATGTGCAATTGATATACTTACTTAAGGGAATTTGAAATTTTGAGCATTTTACATACTTATCCCGCTTTTGTGTTCATGATGTACGTTATATCCGTACTCGACTGTATGTAATTATTTTTATGATATTTACTTTGTATTTACTTTATGTGCAACAGATTCCGGTTGCTTTATACTATTAATATGTATATGTGCATGTATACATAATTAATGTTTATTTTAATTATAATTTTAGAGTCTCGTGCTAGCGCTATATTTAACATTTTTTTTGTTTTATTAATAAATCTCATGTGTCTGATGATTTTTTTTTTTGCTTATTGTTCAGACATTTTAATTAATGGATTTTATAAAATCATTAAAGATAAGATTGTAATTTTAATCTTTAATGAGTAATATTTAATATTATTTTTTTTCTGCTTTGTTTCAGTATTGATTTTTGTTTTTTATTTTTGCGAATTATTTAATAATTTTGTTTATGACATAAACCTAATTACTTTTTTTTTTTCACACACCTTATTATTGTGATTCGAAGAATATACAAGCAGCTAACGGAATGTTCTTAATTTTTTAAATAAAAATTAAAAATTATAATTAGATATTCAATAAAATATAATTACATACTTAAATATACTCAGCTATTATTATAAAAGAAAATTTATTAATTGTTATACGCATATACTTAGCTAATGACATTCATATGAAGGTTTCAATGCATTATTGTTATATTTTTTGGTTTTGCATAGATAAATAAGTATACGTATATATATATATAAATATAAACATATATGTACTTAAGTATATAAAAATAAATAATTAATGGAGAGATATGCAAGCTTGCGAATACGCTATTAAAAAATAATTAATATTGTTGAATGAAACAATTTAAAATTAAATTTGAATAACGTCACTCCAATTGTGTACATATTTAAAATTTTTTTGTTGGTTGTTTTTTCTTATAATATTAAAAGTCTAGCCTGAAATAATTACTATATTATACAGAATGTGGGATAATAAATTTGGAATAAATTATGTGTGAACTATAAAATTTCAATGTAGGTACTCAAATGTTAAAAAACCAAAGTATATCTGCTGTACAGGTTAGCACTCAGGTTTTCAATTGGAATCACCTACTTTGATTGATCAATTAAAATTAATCAATTTGAATGGAAATCTGATCTTATATCTGAATTGATCAATTGTTCAGGCACAACATGTCTTAGCAATAAGATAGTTTCATTTATCTTATTACTTATATGGACCAATTTTGAATTTTTATCATAAAATACTTAAGCGAATATTTTACAATACGCAATTTATACATATATACTTTACAATTCCTGTATACATATGTAATAGAGAAAACTTGTCGTATTTATCGTCCCAATTTTCAATTAAAATGTTAGTTATATATAAAGAGATTTTACTGTATTTATATTATATCTATATGTTCTTAGCTTTCTAGAATTTTATCAGCTAATTAATTTATCAATCAAGAAAATAATCGCAATATTATATACAGAATTATTTAATGACAACCGGTGCCATAACACATACCATGAAATTAGTAAAATTTTTTGTTAAGAGCTAGGTGTCAAACGGTTTCCGTAAGAGGCGATAGTTTTAACGAAATTTCTACTTGCCCAAGTTTAATTGCTTATAGTTTCCCTTCCGAAATAGATAGGAGCTTTAAACAAGCAGTTTAAGCACTGCTAGAAAATGGCTTATAAAGTTGATTTCATGATTTTGTATTTAATATACTTTTGGAATACCAAGTGCTCGAACTTTAGAAAAAATCAAATTTTTCTCTGTTTTTTTTTATTTTTGTTTAGTTATCCGTTTATTTCGTACGAATTTATTTTTTTTGAATAACTTTGTTTTCCCTAACTACAATCACAATTTAGCTATAGCAGTTTACTTGAAAAAAAAAAAAAATTCAAGTTCATGTTTTTGTGTTCCTTTTTGTTTTCGAAAATATCAAATTACTTACTTAAATAACTAAAGACAATATTGATTGTACTTATGTATTTGCCCTTATTACAAGGCTACTTACTGTATACAAAAATTATTTTCTTTAAAAGGTTAAATTTTTATTTTAACTTTTTGGAACTCTTCAATATTGTTACAAGAAAACGAACAGTTTATCATTTCTATGGTATTTTTTTTTTTGTTTTTACTGTTGTTATCGTTACCCCCTAAGTATTTTGGGTAAGTGAGTAACTTTGAAATTTTTTATAATATTTTTTAAATATTGACAACAAATAAATTGTGTTTGTATGTAAAACAAAATTGTTTACTTATAATAAAAATATTTTAGTTGTTACTGAAGTTCTATGGGGGAGCTAACTAAAATTTCCCAAATATTAAATAACAAATTTTTAATAATTGTGATTTTGACTAACTTTAACGTTAGTTTAAAATGACACAATTACAATAATTACGAGTAAATTTTAATGATAATCACTTTTC